ATTTAACCAGACACAGTTATGACCTTGAATAGTCACTTTTAAGCTAATTACTTATGTGAATAAGTTTCTTTGAAAGTTTCTTTTTGAAAAGATAGATCACAAAAGGAAGGACGAACAGACAAACAGGCAGATAGTCATAGACAGACAGAGAGAGACAGACAGACAGATAGATGGGTGGACAGATAGATAGACAGACAGATAGACAGATAGATAGATAGACAGATAGACAGACAGATAGACAGACAAATAGATAGATAGACAGATAGAGCTGCTAAGGGTGGCCCAACCAGTTATTAGGTTTAGGGGGCAAACACTTTTTCACACAGGGCCATGTAGTTTTGGATTTTGTTTTCCCTTAATAATAAAAACCTTCATTTAAAAACTGCATGTTGTGTTCACTTGTGTTATCTTTGACTAATATTTAAATTTGTTTGATGATCTGAAACATTAAAGTGTGACAAACATGCAAAAAAATAAGAAATCAGGACACTTTTTCACACCACTGTAGATAGATGATAGACAGACAGACAGACAGATAGACAGATAGATATAGATGATAGATAGACAGACAGACAGACAGACAGACAGACAGATAGATAGATGATAGACAGACAGACGGACAGACAGACAGACGTACAGACAGACAGACAGAAAAAGGTCAAAACATATTATATTATGTTATATTATATTATATATTTTTAACATTTTTATAAGGATGTTATTTTGTTAATGGGGATAGTTAAAGGGATCTTCAGCAAAAGAAAAAAACTGACACAGGTTTGGAAAACAAGGTTGGAAAAACTATTTTAGAACAACTTGAACTTGAGTAATTGTAAAAAATATTCCTAAATATAGGTTTCATGTTCTTGCTGAATAATTATTTGACTTGTTTTCATCTGATTTTGAGGTGAAATATGTTCTTGACAAGTTTTGTGAGATTTATAAGGAATGAGATGTATGAGACTTTGTGAGCCTTTATAAGGTAAACAAAGATACCACACTGTCATGATAATGAGAACACAACTGGCATTCCACGTCATTATGGACACTATTATCTCTTTGCGTGTATCTGTATCTGTCCCTCTCAATCACTTTACTCTCTTTTTCTGTCTCTCAATCACAAAAGCACAAAAACAGCACAGAAGCAGAGCTGTCAAGAGTGTTTTCTACATTATTCACCACGGGCTTGGCTTATGTAATGCAGTCAAGTGAGCGTGTGCCTGTTGGGAAGCCGGAGTATCATCAAGTAGAATGCCTATGCTAGTAACAGGGCTGATTATGCAACGCGCCTATTTACACAAGCACCCACGCAAAACACATGCGTGAGCACAGAAACCAGCCCTGCCAGGCTGGGAAATCTAACTGCTCTACAATCGGAGCAGCCATCCCTTCGTTGACATTGACTGCCTCCGCATCACCCTCCCTGTCCGCACGCAACCTCGCATCGAGGCTAGCCATTTGCCAGGTTGCCATAGCAACCGCACTGCACCTGCAAAACCCTGGCTGTGCGACTGCAGACGGTGACGTGTGGCCCTGCTCTGAACTGGACTGCCTCCAGTTGATGATCAGAGCGCTCGCTTTGCCTTAGTGTCACTGAATAACATATTACTATCAGACTACTACTAATACTGCAATGTACAGTGCTTTTATGCACATTTTCTGTATGCATAAAATATACAGATTGCTTCTTTTGCCAAAATGAGCAGTATACCACTTTTAAAAGCTAAACAAAAACACAAAAACCAAAACCATAATTTTTTTTACAAAATAATAATAATAAAAAAATATAAAAAATAAAAGAATACAAGTACACATAACAAAATTACTTCAACTTTTGTATATATATATATATATATATATATATATGAAAACATCAGATACAAAAACCTCTAAGTCTGTCTGAGATTTTTAAATGAGCATTTTTATCAGGCTCCTATGTTAGGTTCAGTCATTTCACTTTAATGGCAAATAAAAGGTGATTAGTCAGTTATTGAATGCCTTATTTTTTTTAAATGTCCAATGACATTTTCATAGGAGCCTGATAAAAAGCTAATTTGAATGACAGACTTAGAGATTTTTGCATCTGAAGTCTTTATATATAATATCTCAATTATATAAAATAACTCTGAAAATGCAATGTGTTCAATGTGAACTTAGATTTTTTTTTAAATGATAAAAATATTGCAAATAAACATGCATTTTGTGCTATACAAATAGACTTGAATTGATTTGAAAAATAAAACAAGTCAAATATATTCTGGTTCCGAATTATTATTTACGGTGGTTGAGAAGTGCAAAACAAATCACAATTCCAAAAACAAAATAACAAATTACAAACGCAAATGCAAATCTAATTTGGATTTGTCATTGTTTTTTCTGACTTGTTATTTTGTTTTCGGAATTGTTGATGTGTTTTCTGATTTGTTATTTTGTGTTTTTAGATTTGCATTTGCATTTGTAATTTGTTATTTTGTTTTCAGAATTGTGATTTGTTTTGCACTTCTCGGTCACCATAATTATTTGATCAATCTGTCAAATATATTTTCCCCAAACGAAACGAAACTAAACTAAACTAAACTGCCAAATATGAAGACGGTTTTACACAAAACGAAACAAAACAGAACAAAACAAAACGACAAAATATGAAGACAGTTTTACACAAAACGAAATAAAACGGCAAAATATGAAGGCGGTTTTACACAAAACAAAATAAAATAAATAAACATATCAAAAATTAAAAATACCCATTTTTGTTGCCAAGATGATATATAGATACCTATTAATTAAACATGTAGCTTCATGAGGTCATGTGACAAACATAATGAGGTCATGTGATACTATAGTACAATACTGTACTTACTAATAATGCCTATTAGGGATGGAACGATTACCGGTTTTACGATAAATCACGATAAAATGCCCTGACGGTTAGTATTACCGTTTAAAATTTAATTATCATCAAAACCGTGTTTGATTATCGCAATTTTGAAAACTCGCGGTAAATCCTGTCCAGCCAGCATCAGTCTGACGCAGAAGCAGCATGCAATGTTGTTGTTGTTTTTTTTTGCACTAGAAGAAATGGCGGAAGGCAGTGACAGCATTCGGGAGATTTTTCAGCCATCTAAGAGGACCAAATCGGTGGTCTGGTCGTATTTTGGCTTTTACAAGAGTCCTGAAGGCAATTTAATCGAGGACGGTCACCCTGTCTGCCGATCTTGCAAGAAGAAAGTAGCTGCAAAAGGGGGAAACGCATCAAATTTGCTCAGTCATCTTCGTGACCATCACCCACTGTTATATAGCAAATGCAAGGTAACTTTTACCTCAATTGTTTAACGCAAAGCTTCCGCAAAGAAAAGTTCTCAACAAGTGGCTTTGAGCCAAGACGAACGAACGTTCAAACTACAGGTGCATCTCAATAAATTAGAATGTCGTGGAAAAGTTAATTTATTTCAGTAATTCAACTCAAATTGTGTATATATATATATATATATATATATACATATACAAGTGATTTATTATTATTATTATTATTAGGGCTTCATGTTAATGTTAATTTAATGTTTTTGCTAAAAAAAAAGTGCATATAGCTGCTAATTGTATTTGTTGTTTGTTGATTTTCAAATATAAAACTTATTGAAATGTTTTCAGTGTGTATCAGTTCTTTTTGAACGTTTTCATCTAATTTTAACAAAACCGTGATAATATTGAAAATTGTGATAACTTTGGTCACTATAATCGTGATATGAAATTTTCATACCGTTACATCCCTAATGCCTATTTTTAGTAAGTTTAACCTACCATAAATATATTCACTAAGTAGAAAGTTGCTATTCTTGAGAACAGCCTTAGCGTCCTTTAGTTCCTCTCTCTGCACTGTCTGTTTTCTTCAATTTACCCACTGACTCCTCAGTGACCCGAGCTATCTGGCGCGCCTGCAGCGGCCTTATTAGTGTTTTCTTATCTCAATTCAGTGCATGCTCTCCTTCCCTCTTCCTGTTTTGCACCAGAGGAGGATGCCCTGCATTTCAAAGGAAAGGACACGGCTTTCCTACACACAGATGAGATATGCAAAAACCCCACCTTGCATTAAAACAGCAATTCAGATAAAGGGTTTGGATATGCTTTAGTTCACGTGGTAATTAGCTCTGTCATGCATACTGTTAATTTTACCACATCTGCCCTGGATCAGCTGACATACTGTGCCACACACAAGTGCCACAATCGCGGTTTACTACGGTATCTGAATTCACTGCAGGTTTGCACATGACATGAGAGGTTTAAAAGCAGAACAGAGGCTTATCTCATGTAAGTCATAAAAACAACCCCTCAAAAACAAAAGAAGTGAGAGCTGATCTCACCTGTATGACAGGGTTCCCTCCCTCCAGCAGAGCGATGGCCAGCAGGATGCTTTCCTGGAAGATTCGGTCACTCGTGGCGTTCATGATGAGGTCAATGACCAGGTCAGACGCACCTTCTCTGTCCAGATGACACTGCACTTCTGCCAGGCTAATCTCCCCTCGACTGCCCACTGAACCTCCACCACCTCCTGGGAATAAAGAATATTAAATATAAATATTATACATATACCACAGTTCAAAAGTTTCAAGGGAGGGTGATTTTTTGTGACAGTAAAGACATTTTTTGATGCTACAAAAGCTTTCTATTGCAAATAAATTCTGTTCTTTTTAAAGTTCTCTTCATCAAAAAATCCAGCAAAAACAACATATTGCGGTTCCACAAACATATCAAGTAGCACAACTGTTTTCGACATTGATTGTAACAAGTTAAATGTTTAATACAACTGACGACCAAATCAGTATATGAAAATGTATCTATCACAGGAATAAATTACTTTGTAATATGAAAAATGATTTAAAAACATTGATTTAAAAAACATGTATTTTAATATTTGAATATGTAAAAAATTTAACATTTATTTTAATAATAATGTAAATATATGTTTTTACTGTATTTTAGATCAAATAAATGCAGCATTGTGAGCACGAGAGACTTCTTTTATAAACATTAAAACATCTTACCAGACACTGGAATATTGGCTTAATCAGTTCAACGCATTTACATGACATTTCATATGACACTATTTTGATATTAGTTAGAATTGTAATGTGCATGTACACACATTCACTGAATATTTCAGTCATTACAGAACTAAAAAATCAATTACAATTATTGTAATTTTGTCCAAATACAAGTCCATTTCTTATATAATTGCTGCCCTTTTTCAGTTCAGATCAAATTTTAATGGTACAACAAAAATCAAATAAAATCAAACCAATTCATGACCAAATCTCAACTGTATTCAGTGTTAAGAACTTGAACAGGCCTTTTTGATGAGATGTTGCACCAATTTTACATGAAATCTAAGGACTGGTAGTCAATAAATGACCAAACAAATGACCTTTTTGGTAAGTTTGGGTCAAAGTTTGACCAGTCATCTGTCAGTCCTATCATCTGCAGTCAGTTTCCTCTAAAGAGATATCCGCTTTAACACACTTGCTAGGTGTGTCTGGAGGCTATTTACACAGGAAGTGCGGGTGCCATATTCTTGTCGCCTGGCAACAGCGATGGCTCCGAATATATAGAACACATAGCATAGAGAAGAAAGTGGTTGGGGAGGGAGTCATCTTAACAGCGGGGTATTACAAAATGAAGTTGGTGTCTATGTTTGAAAAGGTCAGCTTGCATCATCTATTATAAGAAACTTAAGGTGCTGCACAAACCTGTAGGAGTCTTGGACTGCCCGCCGGGGGTGAGCGGCCCGTTGCTGAAATTGGTCAAACTGTCTCGCCTGCCTCCCGGCTTGAAGTTGCCATAGTAACGGTTCACCAGGACTTGCCTCAAAGCTTCACTCTGACAACAGGGAAGGGGGCGGAGTCACAGGAGGGGCATTATGACAAACATCATCAACGCCAAACATCAGTGTGCCACCATGACAGACATCATCAAATGGTTTGATTTGAAAATAAAGAAATAGATTATGAAAACAAACAGATTTTGACATGAATGTGGCTGCAGATTTGAGATATTATATTGTATCTTTTTTAATGGAGAAATACACACGTATCCTTCCACAGGTGGTCAACGAGAAACTTTTCCAACATTTAAAGGGGTCATGACATGAGAAATCAAATTTTCTTAGATTTTTTTTGGCATATAAGTTGCCATTAAAAATCCTGCAAGTTTCATAGCTTAAAACATCCTCCTCGTTATAAACAAAACATTTATTTAATCAAGCTCCAAAAACGGCTATTTTGAATCCGAGGGGCAAGGTGACATCACCTGGCCCAGTCGTTTGCATAAACACTGCCTCCAGAGCAAGACATTGACGAATAGTCTTCTTCTCACCATAGGCCGCTTAACGGCTGACACTTGATCATGCTGAATGCGAGTGTCGCGTCAAAAGCAAACAGAAATTACAATCACTGCCGCTATCTTGTCTACACTGGATACAGTATACAGATGCGCGTTTGCTTTCTGACACAGTCCACGTGCTTGAGTCTGTCGTCAGGACAAATAGAGTGAAAGAACGTTTGCTTTGACGCGTTTGGTTTAAAAAGCTTGTTTGCATCTTTGTACAGATATCAGAAGGATCCCAGCGTAAGTAACAAGTGGATAATTTATTTTTAAATGGCACCCCGGATAGTGTCAGAGGATTGGTCGGAGCATTTTGTTTTGTAAACGAGGCACAGTGTGTCATGGAGAGTTCACAAAGAAACATTTGTTGAAAGATGAAGCGGAACTAGATCTGACTGCAGCTGCATCACAAACCATAAGTAAATGATTTCATAATGTTTGTCTGAAAATGACCGTTTATTTTGATTATGTTGTCAAAACACTCACATGCAATAGGAGGGGGCATTGATACAGTTTCCTATGCAATGACTTTAGCCAATCATAACAGTGGCTGATTACTGAGAAGCCTTAATGGACACGCCCCTTAAAAACAGGTCGTTTTAGACAGAGGGTCAGAATGAGGGTTGAAAATAATAATTTTTCCACATTTATTTGTTGTTGTTTTTTGTTTAAAAAAAACTTTTGCACAAAACTATTAATGTTATAAGTAAACCTCAAGGAACATATTAAAATGAAAAATCCATGTCATGACCCCTTTAACTTGAAGCCTGTATATTGTTTGCATTTGGGGTCAGTAAGATTTGCTTTAATAGTTAGTATTAATAGTTGAATTCAGGCAGAATGCGTTAAATTGATCAAAAGTGATAGTAAAGACATAACGTATTTCTATTTTAATAAAATAGAAATAAATTAAAACAAGCCTCTAAATAAAGACATTTCTTTTGAACTTTCTATTGAGTCCTAAAAAATCTTTTCCCATAAAAAACAAATGAACAGAACAACTTTTTTCAATGTTTCTTGAACACCAATACAGCATAATAGAAACAAATTAGGCTTAAAAAAACACAACTACAATAGAAAACAAATATTTTAAATTGTTATTTAAAATAACAAGTTTGTTATTTATTTGTCAAACTTTTGAATGATAGTGTATTTAAAATACATAAACTTTATATACATTGCAATGGCTTATACTGCTTCATAATAATACTTGCTACACCTTTAAAGAGCATAACTCATAATAAACTTTGAGTGCTCACTTAGCAAAGGTGTAACTATGTATAGGTTATGCAGTATGTTGCATGTTAACTGTCTAAAGGTGTATTATGTAATATATTATATTTAAATTCTCAATAACGTGTTACATAAACAGGCTTCAAGGAAAGTGTTACCGAATTAATTTCCTTTGTGGGATGCTACTCAGCTCCTCCTCAAGACCAGTCCCTACCTCGTCCTGTTACATTTGATTAGTTCAGTCAGAAACAGGTCAGAAAGTAAGACAGAATCTGATAACGCTAGATCCCTTTCCTTAGTCGCTTCTAACCTCATAATACCAGAAGCCTCGGATACAAGACACCACACCAATTAAGACTGATCCTAATTCAGTGATTACACAGTTAAAAACAAACCCAACTGCTCACTCGAAACACCCCCGAACCCGAGTCCGTGGAACCACACACACACTCACAACATCAAGATGTTAATCACCTATAAATGGATCAATCGGCTTCTACAAACATAAAGAGCAAATACTCATCCAGTGAAACCTCCACCCCTTTGGATCAGACAGGAGGGTGTGAACAGGGTGAGTTTGTGAACGGGCAAATCAAGCAGTGGCCAGGGTGTGCGTCCCGTGCCCCGAGCCTTGTTTCTTTACCTACCCTTCTCTGATCCTCCAGTTGCTTCTGGGGCTGGTTTGGATCAAACTCCTGAGTGACGTGAGTTAGCAGAAAGCAAAAAGGAGGGAAGAAAAATGAGAAGCATAAAAAAAGAAAGGGGTCAAGACTGAGAACATTAGTCACTATTTAGACATGCACAAAAAAGTGGGGCAGATTACATCATGCAGTTAAATGAGAGGCTTGGTGTGTATGTGTGTGTGTGTGCGTGCGTGCGTGTGTGTGTGTGTGAACGTGTGTGTGTTTGGGAGCAGACAGGCGCTGAGGAACATCATGCAGAGCAGAGGAGCATGAGCTTCAGTTTATCCATAAAGCCCTAAAATAATCCCTAAAAGGAAGCAGGAAAGGGGGTAAAACAGGAAAACTAATATATAATACATTTCATAATATTTGTTTTTGAATCCCCTGCCCTTTAATTAATACAAACTGTGTTGTTTGGCAGCATCAAACTCTGCTAACCTATTCTACAGGCCATCTGTTTTATGTCGGACCGTAGTTGTGTTTCTACAGCAGCAAGAGCGGGAATGAAACCATGTTAATTACATAAGCACCGCACAGGGCGCCAAAGCTAGAAACATTAGCCATGAGTGAGAGGAATGAGAGAGAGAGAAAACTTTTATCCAGATTATGTAATGGATCCTGTCTACTATTGACACACACTGCGGCCCATGCCCTCAGCTGCCTTGGAAAAGCGGTAGGTCTGCTTTTCGTCCTTTCTTCTCCCTGTCTGTCATACACACGGATATACAGTATGTGGGTACATGCAAAATGTACAACAGCGACAGACCACTTTTCTGCAGCCTTGGTTTCAGAAGGTTTCTTCCTCATTCAGTTTCTCCACAGGCATTTCAAAAACTAAATAAATAAATTGAAGAAAGGATTTGAAGCCATAAACCAATTCAACTAGTTCACGGAATGAATGAAAAACTTTAAAAACTTTGGAAAGTCAGAGAAAAGTCAAAAATATAAATATTATTAGCTGTAATTTAGCTGTTCTTGTTGCAACAGCAACTTTTACTGATTGGGGATCCATATAGGATCTTTCTTTAGGATTCACCCTGAAATTTGGTTAGTAAACTTTGATTTGGATCAGAATATTTAAGAAAATCAGAGAAGAAATGAAAAAGTACATGGCTGTGTCTTTTATAAAGGAATTAAAGGGATAGTTTATCCAAAAAGTAAAATTCTGTCATAATTTATTCACCCTCATGTCGTTCCAAACCTGTATGAGTTTCTTTCTTATGTTGAACATAAAAGAGGATATTTTGAAGAATACTGATAATCAAACATGTGATGGTCCCCACTGGCTTCCACAGAATTTCTTTCCCTACCATGGAAGTCAATGGGGACCAACAATGTTTGGTTCTTCAAAATTCTTCAAAATATCTTCCTTTGTGTTCAGCATAAGAAAGAAACTCAACATGTTTGGAACAACATGAGGGTGAGTAAATTATGACAAAATTTTACTTTTCGGGTGAACTATACCTTTAACCACACATCCCATGAAGCACAGTGAATGACAAGCATGACAATAAAATGTAAAACTATTGACTTAAAGTCATTCATGATTAGACATTATGTTATATAACATCAACAAGAACATAATAATACTAACAATAATTATAATTATTATTAAATTCAACATACCATTAATTATAGCAAAATATTCAAAAACAAATATCCGAGTTGTTAGAAAGTGCATGAAAACTCATTTACTTAAATTATTTGCAGTTTCATGGGAGTGGAAGGTCAATATGTTGAATTCTTTGAGCATGTTTTTTGTTGCCATAATAACAGCAACTTTAATTGGAGGATCCTTCTTCAGAATCTAATCTATAATTTGGTTAGTAAACACGGTTTACAAATAAAACTGTTGAAATCTAGAAAGAAAAAAGCTGAAAAGCTGAGATCATACAAATCCCGACTTCTACAGAAGCATATATCTCCGAGCGCATGGTATGCTTCTTTTGAAAGGTAATTTGTTATCAGGTAACTTCTCAATGGAGAAAATGAATGGGTTTTCACGACCAGATCCCAATCGATAATCAGCAAGACCAAAAAGAGGTCAGCTTATTGATATATTTCCACACCGAGGGGGAAAACAGATCTAAGAGGAAAGATCTAAGTGTGGTGTGAGCTAGTGTGGGGCTTTGTTTTCCCATTTGCATGGGCAGAGATGACGCAAAGCGGAGATAAAAAAGAGGCTATTGCAATGCAATGAGGCAAGGACATGGTATGAGACGATCAACTACTGACTGCAACAACCCATATTCCCACATCCCAGCCCAAGGTTGGCAGGGAGGGTGAATATGTGTTGGACACACCTCTGCTGGGACCTCTGGTTCTGGTGGGGGTGCAAGCTAATGGAGATAAAAAGTCATGAGTTAGTTAATGCAGATTAGTCTCTGGCATTGCTAGAACGTGTTAATGCACTTGACAAACTAGAAACTCATTAATGCAGCGTGCATCAGACCCATCAGAAATAACCAGCCTGAGAGAATAGACTTTCCTACACTTAAGCGTCTGCAGATTGGGAAGACTGCACATTCATCTATGCCAGCGTAGGGTTGATTGACCTCAGCAGGTCAGCCTACACGTCGGCTTCTTATCAAAAAGGGTCAACGCAGTGGGAAAACAGGCAAAAATGTGCACGCAAACGTATTTGATAAAAGGCTTCAATCTCAAGCAGTTATGTAATGCATTCTCAAGCCGTGACTTGGCAGAAGAAAACATTACACTTAAGTGTTACCAAGTTGGGTGTGGAAAAAAAAAAGGGTTTTTTTTGTGTGTGGTTGATTTTCAAAAAGGTATGTGCAACTTGTTTGGTCCTGTCACAACATTCACATGGAAGTATTTCCACAATTATTGGTGCATTAGTAAGACAAGAAAAGACACATAAAATCAAAAAGTTAGTCGTGCAAGAGCAAAAAGGAACGAGCAAAGCAGGCTACATACACGGCACGCAAACAGTTCCTTGTACGACACGTCAGAGACAATGAAAATGAGTATACTACTATTGACCAAAAAAAACAAAAACGATTCAGACAGCATAAACACTCAGTGCCATTTGATATCATAAACATTTGTTTGATTCAAAAGGATGCCAAGAGGAAAATTTGAGCATGTTGTCTGGAACCATTCTAACACAAAGAAAAAGAGGGGGGTTCTAAATTAGCAACAGCCGTGACGCACGCACATGTTTGTGTGAGTAATACTGCAACCAGTAAGGAATCTCCCTTTCTGCGACATTTTTCAGCTGGAAAATAATGCTGCTGCAAAACACAAGGTGTGAATGCGAAATGTCCCTCTCTAGCCACCATAAATGCATGCTTTCATCACAAGCTATAAAAACACTTTCTTGTGAATTTCCCCATGAGAAATCGATAAAGCACATCCATTCATCTGCACATCGTCCGGTAATGAATCCGAATTCGATTTAACACTGACTTTTCAAAGAGCTCTTGGCTACTTTTTCTTCCAGTGCAAGTCACAAGTTTGTGTGTCACAAGTTTGTCGGGTGTGGGGACGAAACACCTCGAGCATGTACTGATATCACGGCTTTATTCTTTACGGTGCATGTCAATGGCGAGAAGCTTCGAGGGTTCATTTCAGTCACTGTCATTGTCGAAAAAAAGCACGGTTGGGTTTGCAAACACACTTTCTAACCTGATGAGCTCAATAACATAAATGTGTGTCTGTCTTAAAGCTCTGGCCTAAAGACTGAAGGAAACTCACTTGGTGACCTCATTTACGCATTTCAGTCTAATAAGACGGAAACTGAACTGTTGTGTTCACAAAAGGGTTTAGGATGTTGTATGTCCACCGGAGGGTCTTCGCCACTGCCAGAGTCTTTTGGTAAATAGCCCTTCGCACTTTTATTGCCAATTATTGCAGAAGGTCACACATCAGTAAAGAGCCTGGATTCCAGGAAAAAATAAACAGAAAAAAAAGAAGGGCAGGTCTTATGTAACCTCTGGTTGCGAGCTGGCGGGAGTCCAGGAATCGTGCTGCAAGAAGGCGAGGAAACTGGGACAGCGGTGTGTGCAGGGACGGATGTGTCCACAGCTCCCCCTGATGGACGACACTAGACGTGCAGAGGAGGAGCCAGAGATAACAGAGAACACATGAGGACAACCGACCCCAACTGACACACACTGACTACTGGAACTGACTCAATCTACTCACATACAGAGAGAAAGAGAGGGACAGAGCAAAAGATAGACAGGCAAAGACAATGAAAAATATAAACAAACAATTAATTAACAAGGAGAGAGAGAGACAGGCAGAGAAAAAGAAAGTGAGAGAAAGACAGAAAGAAAGATTATGACAGACAGAACAAAAACAGAACAGCGAATAAGACAGAAACAGAGGCAGACAGAAAGACTTATAAAAAGAATAAATAAAAGATCACACTTTATATTAAGGTCCCATTCTCGCTATTAACAAACCATTAACTACGACCTTTGCCTCAGTAAATTCCTAATTTGCTGCTTATTAATAGTCAGAAAGGTATTTGTTAAGTTTAGGTATTGGGTAGATTAGGGATGTAGAATATGGTCATGCAGAATATATTCTTTATAAGTACTGATAAACAGCCAATATGCTATTAATAGGCATGCTAATAAGCAACGAGTTAATAGTGCGAATTGGTCTCTATACTAAAGTGTTACCAAATAAAACAACATGAAAACAGAATGATAGAAAGTCATAGAAAATGTGAAACAGAGACAGGCAGAAATATTAAGAAAGAGAGAAAGAAAGAGAGAGAGAAAGAGATAAAGAAAGAGAGAGAGAGAGAGAGAGAGAGAGAGAGAGAGAGAGAGAGAGAAAGAAAAAAGAAAGAAAGAAAGAAGACTACTTATGGCTGAGAGAGTGTCTAGCACAGTCCAGGTGAAGGAGAGAGACACACACACACACACCACTCTCTCCATCCACATTACATAAGCTTCTCTGCTCAGCAGCACAGCCGCATTGTCAACCTAAAGCCATATTATCCTCCCCATCCCTCTTACATCACACACACACACACACACAGACTTACACTCTGTGACAGGAGACACATTCTCTTATGTAATATAAAGATGAAGAGAGAGACAGAGGGAGAAGTGTCGTATGTTATGAGCAGGGATGGTCAGTGAACACGTGCTGTGAACACGTGTTAAGTGTGTGTGAGGGCTCAGACTCATGATGCGCTCTAATGACATGACCTCCCAATCATCATCAAAAAACAGCGATCATGCAAAATATCCATCATATATATCTTTTGTTAGTTTTGACTGCTTTTATTGTCCTCATTTGTAAGTCGCTGTGGATAAAAGCGTAAAGCGTATGACTAAATGTAAATGTAAATATATATTAGTGCTGTCAAATGATTAATCGCATCCAAAATAAAAGTATTTATTTACATAATATGTGTGTGTACTGTGTATGTTTATTATGTATATATAAATACACAAACATACAGTATATATTTAGAAAATGTTTACATGTATTTACATGTATAAATTTATATTCATGTAATTTAATTTATATATAAATATATTTAATATATAAGCATAACATATTTTTCTTAAATATATACATGCATGCGTGTCTATTTATATATACATAATAAATATACACAGTACACACACATATATTACGTAAACAAAACCTTTTATTTTGGATGCGATTAATCGCGAATAATTGTTTGACAGCACTAATATACGTATATATATATATGTGTGTGTGTGTGTGTATAGGACCATCACATTATACCTGTATATTATATATGTGTGCATGTATGTATGTATATAGGGCCATCGCATTATATAACTTTATTTCTGGATTAATATACTGTACATATACAACCATTCAAAAATTTGGGATCTGTAATTTGAATGCAATTTATTCCTGTGATGCAAAGCTGAAATTTCAGCATCATAACTCCAGTCTTAAGGGTCATATGGCCTTTCAGAAATCATTCTAATATACTGATTTGCTGCTCAAGAAACATTTCTTATTAATATCAATGTTGAAATCAGCTTTACTGCTTAATATTTAGGTGGAAACTGTAATTTGTTGTTTTCAGGATTCCCTGATGAATAGAAAGTTCATAAGAACACAATTTATTTAAAATGCAAATATTTCATAACATTATTAATGTATTTACTGTCACTTTTGATTACTGTGTCCTTGCTGAATGAAAGTATCAGTTAGGAAAAACTGATCTTACTGACCCCAAAAATTTAAATGGTATATATACACATACATATATGTTTATACAAAATTGTGTGTGTGTGTGTGTGTGTGTGGTAAAAAATTACAAATGCTGTGAATAACCTGCATCAAACCCAGAACATTCGACGAGAAAGGTATTTACTCACGAGTGCTTGTGTCACCTTATTTATCGAAATGCCCCCGTCAGCACTTCAGCGTTATCTTTCACCAGTAAGAATGTATAGAAAAAAAGCACACATTGCATTTTTAAACGCCTCAAGCCAACCATTTGACGTTCTGTTTTTTCCTCAGAAGGAGTGTATTACTTAAACTTGTGATATGGTTTCTGCTGACCTTAATTTAACACCAAAACACCCAAAAAAACTGGTGAACACACCCTTTAGTGACCTTTTACACTTCTCCTTCTATACAAATACAAGTCATGATGACACACAAACAGACACACATATACACAAATAATAATGCCATTTTTCTTGTTCAGCCATGCCACACAACTGCATGGATGCTCAAGAACGTTCACACATGTCTTCCTGTTATGGGGAGACCGGGTCGCATTTCATCCCTGGAAGTGATAGGAGAGCAGTGACTATAAATATAGTATGAACTCCCACGTGCCTTCCTGACTTCAACTCAAACACGCACAGACACTCACTTTAAACTTTGAATTTACAGATACATTGCCACCTCTCACATAAAAAGGAGTCAATGGTAAGCAACCACAAAGATTGGTGTTACTTGTAATTATAGTGCTTGCATGACAGACCTACACTAAATTTTTGAACAGCATACTTAAAGTTTGAAAACTTCCCACTGACCAAGATATTGTTAGAATATTTACTACTCAAAATCTAATTCAGATGACATTTGCACAATGGATTATGATTTGCATACTAATATGGATTGGGACCAATAAGTAAAGCAAAATGCTTTAAAGGAACACTCCACTATTTTTGAAAATAGGCTCATTTTCCAACTCCCCTAAGAGTTAAACAGTTGAGTTTTACCGTTTTCGAATCCATTCAGCCGATCTCCGGGTCTGGCGTAGCACTTTTAGCTGTAGTTTAGCATAGATCATTGAATCTGATTAGACCGTTAGCATCTCACTCAAAAATGAGCAAAGAGTTTCTATATTTTTCCTATTTAAAACTTGACTCATCTGTAGTTACATCGTGTACCAAGACCGACGGAAAATGAAAAGTTGCTGTTTTCTAGGCCGATATGGCTAGGAACTATACTCTCATTCCGGCGTAATAATCAAGGAACTTTGCTGCCGTACCATGGGTGCAGCAGGCGCAATGATATTAAGCAGCGCCTGAAAATAGTCCCCAGCACGCTCCCTGTGCAAGCAGGTGGTCACGTTGGTTATGTTGACGGAAGTTAGCCTATTTTCAGGCGCTGCGTAATATCATTGCTAAAACAGCAACTTTTCATTTTCCGTCAGTCTTAGTACACGATGTAACCACAGAAGAGTCAAGTTTTAAATAGGAAAAATATAGAAACTCTGGTCATTTTTGAGTGAGATGCTAACGGTCTAATCAGATTCAATTATCTATGCTAAGCTACAGCTAAAAGTGCTACCGCCAGACCTGGAGATCGGCTGAATGGATTCGAAAACGGTAAAACTCAACTGTTTAACTCTAGGGGGTTTGGAAAATGAGCCTATTTTCAAAAATAGTGGAGTGTTCCTTTATGATATTAAGTCTTGTTTTCAGAAAAAATTATGTGAATTTATGCTTAAGTCAGAATCTTAATTCTAAAAAAAACGCGTTTATTTTTCTGGCCCCACTGCCATATATTTTTCTTATTTTAAGCAAAAACTCATTTTGATCAATATTTAAAAAAACAAGACTTAATATTGTCATTTTACATCGCAATCTTGATTTAGGAATGTTTCGATATTTATACTTAAAAACTAGCCAAAAAACTGAGTAAGAAAATATTTTGTTCATTAATAAGAATTTCAGATGATTGGAACCAATTCAGAAATCTAATTTGTGGTATTCCGACTTCATTTCTAACTGATCCTGCTTTTTCCACAACCTCAAAAAGCGTTTACGCATTTATATGCGTCAAAGATCCATCAGAGCTTTTAACAATGTGGTGTGTGGATGCCATGCTGTTTATTATTTATGCCTTTATTTTTGTGAACAGTCAACAGAAAACTGGCAGCAAAGTGTTTTATTTATTCAGAACCAGACTTTTTTTACGCAAGCACTTCCGGAAAGACAAATCTAATTATAAAATAATTTACACTTTATTCTATAACGTATGTATTCACGTTTCTCACATTAAAAGTTCAAATCACACACAAAAAAAGATTTAAAAAAAGATTGCCATTTTTTGGTTTGTCAGATCAAGAAATCACAAACTAAGACTGAAAACTGTTTTCAGTTGGAGCTTTCCTTGCAAATGCAGCTGAATGAGCCACAATTTCACAACTTACCTGAACTGGGTTTGGCTATATTTCAGTTTCGCTAGATCATCAGCGTAATGTGTTTTTGGCTGGATTAATACGGTGTTATTATCGTAAAAAAAAACTCTGTAATTACTTGTTCTTCAGAGCTTAAACACAGTGCCAATGATATGTTGTGACGTCCCTGTTAAACCGCTACTGTTGTTGTGTCTCAGCAATGAATGTAACAGGAATGTAAACTTGAATTAAGGCTACACAGAGGAAGTGCGAACGAAGAGAGGTGGGCTGATACACTTACACGCATTTTCACCAGCACACGCTATCTAAAATAAGGCCAGTGGTAAAATAAACACATGCACAAGAACACACACTGAAACTATCAGGTGAGGTTAACTGCACGCAACCTCAACACACACAGACAGACAACAAAAACGGCCAGGTTGTGGTGAAGTCATGTTGACGAACACCAGCAAAAAGCTCAAAGGAAAAGAGAACAAGCACTAAGTAGGACGACTACATTGGCGCGAGAGCGGGAAGCCCAACTAAACATAGCAAATAATAAAACCAAAAATAAAAAACAACCTCAGCCACATCCAGCTCATCATCAAAGGCAATTAGCTGGAAGAGAAGAGCATACAGCAAAGTTAGTATCGTGAAGGAAGGAATCAGAGAACGCACAAATAAAAAATGCCAAACGATGTTCGTTAGTGACATAACACAAGATTATTGTGATTGTTATTTATCAGCATTAGCTCTGAAAGCATTAGTTGCCAACTACAAAAAGGTGTGACCAAATCTTGTCATTTGTAGTTAAAGACCCCATGAATTCATGAGTGCAGTTTTCTTTCCAAAATAAAATTAAATAAAATAAATAATAATAAAATAAAAAATCTATATAAACAAACAAACAAAAAAAATGTAATAAAAAATAAAATTATATTAAATAAAGTATAAAATCAAATAAAATCAAACAATATAAATACACTAGTAGCATACAGATGGTCTCAAATCTAACAGACATAGAATTAAAACCTTAAACTCTCTTTTTGTTTTCATGGAGTCTTTAAATCAGAAATTGGATATAGCCAGAATTAACATTATAATAAAATCTTGGGCATTCAGATATGTTAGTGACGTTAATTGGGTGTTAATTCATTTAGTGATGGTAAAAAAAACACATTAGGAAAATCAGCATGTTTTATAAAGTGTTAGGTGTCATGAACAGATGCATGTGTGTGTTTGTGTGCAGTTATGTACATAAAAGTATATAGGTTAATAAAAACAGCATGTCAGATGTTTAACATAGCCCTCTGAACTTGGTTTTAGGCGGTAATGTGGAAAGACAGAGTGAAGTGTGTCCTGTAGGCCTGTTTTGCTATTTTTATGGGTAATATGGACAAATGTACAGTAACACACACCAAAGGATTCTTGTAATTTCATCAAGATGTATAATAGTGCTGTAGAAGACAGGATTGTGTAAGTGGAAGGATATTTTTCATTTGTTTTATGCAACCACAACATGTATGTTACCTTTTCCCCATAGCCGCGGTCCTTCGTCATCATTTCTCGAAGTGTCTGCAGAACTTTTATACACAAACGCTCCTCGTTCTCCTCTAAAAGCTGTTTAGTGTGTTTTATTAATCTGAAAGAGAAAAACACAGTACGTCTCACAAGTTTGTTATATAATCTTTAGCAGACCTCAAAATTAATATTTGGTCTTTTACATTTTCAATTAATATTGTGATTATTTTATTTATGGTTATTTTATTTTTTTTAATAATGACCCCACATTAATGCATTAAGACTGTCCTTATAAATATTCTGTAAACTAAAAAAAAACTGACTTAAACTGAAAAGAAACCAGATTGAAACCAGAATCTGAGCTGTTAATAGTCTTTCATGTTGCTCCCACTGACAGTACAAGGGACGCTTACATTGTAATGAAACCCCATTCCTGAATCAGCTAATCCTGCATCTCAGCATTACTCCCGCATGCAAACAAACACAGACGGCCGCACAAACACACAGGTAATCTCTTTTGTAGCTCTGCCAGACGGAGATGAGTCTCTCACAGCACAAGGACACACACTGAGGACAGGTGAAGGACAGTAAGCACTACTGCACCACTGCAGAATGCGGCTCAGTGATTTATTTTTCATACGTTTCATATGTTTTTGAAATAAGTCTCTTATGCTCACCAAGGCTGCATTTATTCGATCGAAAATACAGTAAAAACACTAATATTGTGATTAGGGCTGAAACGATTAGTCGACATTATCGACAAATCTTTTTGTTGTCGAGTAGTCATTTGATCTCATATGACCTAATGTAAGAGCCTGCAATAACGCGGTTTGACCAGTGTGGCGCTGTTGCGCAAGACTGTAATTCAGCCGTCCTGATGCAATAGGGTATATGTCGAACATCACCTGACCAAACCCGGAAAACAGGTCTCATTGCTTCCGCTTGTCGGAGAACATGTTAACAGCCGTATTAAATAATAGCGATATCTATCAGTTAAACTAGCTAGCTGTTTTTATTGTTGACGTTTTATTCAATTTTTATATCTAAATGTGAAAAGAATTTAAAAAAAAAAAACTTTTACATATCAGTCTGCATATGTGATGGACATTGGTTATGATCATCACTGGTATCTACTTTGAAGGCATATCGAGTAAAACTGCTTCATATTTAACTAAGCATATGCAAAACGCTTGAACCGGAAGCGACGAGACCCGGTTAACAGAATACGGAAGTCTGTTGCGCATAACCCCTATTCTCTATTGGTTATGATCATCATTGGTATCTACTTTGAAGGCATCTTGAGTAAAACTGCTTCATATTTAACTAAGCATATGCAAAACGCTTGAACCGGAAGCGACGAGACCCGGTTAACAGAATACGGAAGTCTGTTGCGCATAACCCCTATTCAAGAGAAAAAGAAACAGCGCTTCAGAGCAAATGCAGCCGAACCTGAGGCTCCTGAGCGACGTTTGGATGATTATGTAAATATATGCTGCGCGCTTTCCTCTCAATAACAAAATAAACACAACAAAAACTGACCGCGGTGAGAAAGCAGCAGTTAAGAAAGCATCTGGTTACATCAGCTCTCCAGTTTGGAGCTAGCTAATGAAAAAATCTTTTTATTAGTGGGAAAAAATATTTAATTAAAGTTATAGTTTGGTTTGCAGAGATCAAAGCTTGACCTAGCTTAGGACTGTTTTGATTATCATAACCCTATAAGGTATTTTAAGAGAGATTATGTTGTGAATAAAATAGTTTATCAAAAAAGAAAGCGTCTTATCACTTACCTTTATTTTGTTTCTTATCCATATGACTTACAAAAAGAGATTTTAGGCAGAATGATGTGTCATTCAGTTACTTTTTCATATAGCTAATTAAATGGTGAATAAGAGCGTTTCTCTGTCATCTCATTTTGTGTGCCAAATATATTTATTTGTATAAATTAATTGTATAATTGTAATTACATAATATGACTTTCAATAGCTGAAGTGATTACCTTCATTTATTTGTTAGAATTTGTATAACTCAATATTTTAACTAATTGCAAAAGTCGAATAATCAATAAATGTCTACTGATTAATCAGTGAAATAATCGTTGATTAATCTAACAATTAATCAATTATCAAAATAATCGTTTGTTGCAGCCCTAATTGTGATATGATATATTATTAGAATTATAAAGAAAAAAACTGTTTTGATCCTATATGTGTTTTAGGTCACCCAATGAAACATATTCACAGATGCTATTGGTTCATAACATAAAAAGAGGAAGACTGTTATGACAGTTTTGTCCTCTCAGTTCAAGAAGATGGTTTTATGGTTTAAGGTTTATAGGAAAAGGAAAGTCACTTAGAAATGAAGCCTCCGCTCTCGCATTTCCGTCGAGCATCTGTGTTTTCGGGGAAGAGCAGCTCTGGGCGATGCAGTACATCCACCAACACAGAGAGCTCAGCTTGAACCAGCGGCCGCAGACGATCCTCCAGAGCAGACACGATGTCCTGACAAACACACATTAGGGCATTTATTTTGATCATGTGCAACTAAAGCCGTGCACAGTGACAATATAATACGTTTGACCACAGGATGTACACGAGACACTCGCCAAGCACCAAATGGGACTGAAAACTGACACTGACGAGTGCATAAATGTGGCTGATAACTTTATATTAGAAACCAAAACCTCACAAAGTATTTGTATGGCACATATCATACTTCACAGAGAGATGGAAACTGGCTTATTTCATATATGTGACCCTGGACCACAGTCATAAGGGTCAAGTTTTTTCATCTGAAAGCTGAATAAATACGTTTTCCATTGATGTATGGTTTGTTAGGATAGGACAATATTTGGCCGAGATACAACTATTTGAAAATCTGGAATCTGAAGGTGCAAAAGAATCTAAATATTGAGAAAATCGCCTTTGAAGTTGTCCAAATTAAGTCTTTAGTCTTTAAGTTTTGACATATTTACGGTAGGAAATTTACAAAATATCTTCATGGAACATGATCTTTAACAAAAGCTAGCATTAGCTTTAGCTAGCATTACCATAATATTTTTCACATATTAAACTATGACAAAAAAATAAACCTATAAAATAAATTAAAATATACTACTATAAAAATACAGTTCTTTTGTTAATGTTGTTGCCATGAGTTTTTATAATAAATGAAATGCAAATTAAAAAGCATAATCCTACTATACTACACTATTTTAACACTATAATAATATAGAAAATAAATTCTCTATAAAATATTTAAAAACATTACATTACAAACCACATTTAAATTATTATAACCTTAAGCTGTTAAATACATTTTTCAAATTAAGTTTTTTTTTTTTGGGGGGGGATTTTGTTACCATCAACATTGTAGCCTTTCTGAAGGCAGTGTTTTATACAAACATATGTTAAAATTTATTAATTTAGCTTGAGGTGGCACAATGCAATTTATTATCACTTAAATGCATTATTTATCTGATAGAACATCTACAATTTTACAGTAAAAACCATCTTATCAAACTGGACAAGGCACCAGTTTCATAAAATGATCCATATAGAATGTGAGCTGGAATCTTCGATTAGTGCCAAAAGACAAACATTATCAGAACATTCCACCCTGACTCAACTTCCCTATAACAATGCACATGAATTCCTGGAACTAATTTCCTGTTTCCCCACCTCTTCAAATTCCATTTTGCAATGCATCTGGAACAATATAGATGAGGTTTTTATACACATGATTGACCAATCGACTGTATGACCAAACAATGATTTTTAACAATAATGCTATTTTTAAGTGTGTCTCGATGAAAGCTATTGTGACGCAGCATTTAATACAAAAACATTGCATCATTGGCTGTTCTCCGGAGACCCCACCCTCACCTGCAGCCTCTCAATGATGTTCCTGTAATCTTTGGAAGTGGTGAGCGTTGAGTCTCTTCTGGACGCGTTGCGAGCTGACATCCTCCAATTGAGGATGGTTTTCTGTACCACATTGTTGGACTTCACAAACAGGTTGTTCACCTGGCTGTCCAAATCCACAGGGATGGCGATCGCTCTGCTCTTGGCTGAAAAAAAGACAATTGTAAATACAATTACATGCACACTTAAAGGGATAGTTCACCCAAAAATTTAAATTTGATGTTTATCTGCTTACTTCCAGGGCTACACTAAGTTTGAGTTGGATTGTTTTTTATGCCTCTCCTGCACACCAAGGCTGCATTTATTTGATCAAAAATATTTTCATGTTTTAGATATAATAATATATAAAATGTATTATTTTAAAATGTATTATTTTACTGATGGAAAAGCTGAATTTTTCAGCAGCCGTTCTCCAGTCTTCAGTATCATGATTCTAATATGCTGATTTGCTATTTCAGAAATATGATTATCATTGTTGAAAACAGTTGTGCTGCTTAATATTTTTGCAGAACAACCATGATACATTTCAGGATTCTTTGATAAATAGAAAGTTCAAAAGAACAGTAGCTATTTGTTTATTTATTTAGGGTTTTTTCATGTAAATGCCTTTACTGTCATTTTTGTCAATATAATACATCCATTTTTTGTTTAAATAATCTTTCTGACTCTACTGAAACTTTTGTACATATTTTATTGAATATAATAATATTAACAATATTAAATTACATATTTATTTTGTTAATATATTTTATATTATTAAATACTGAATGTTTTGCCCTTTCATATGTGTAACAAACAGGCGATCATGTCACTTGCAACATCATATATGAAGTGAGCGTGTCTCCGTCTCTGTGTAAAAAAAACATCTTGTATATTTTCATTGGCACTGGCAAGTGTGGTAAAAAAAACATTTTTGGACCCAGGCCACAAATATTCTCAGCACCAAGGGCATTATTTGTTTTCATAGCGAGGGCTGAATCCAGCAGCCATAAGGGTCATAGCACAGACGTGAGCTGTGCAAACGTGTCTGAATACTCGCCAACTCACGCCCCAGCTGCACGGGGGTGGAGACAGACGTGATGAAGCCATGGTTTACCGCAACTCACTAACTCACCCTTCCCCTCACCCAGACTAGATGACACCCCTCCACTGACCTCTATCCCCCTTCACTGTCTTCTGGTTGGAGTATGAAAGCAGTATTTTAAAACGAGAGGAAATGCATGTTTCTACCCACAACACCAACTTCTGATGACAAGGTGTCTTTTGTTCAACATTTCAAAATTGCACCTTTCAAAGAAATTAACTGCTGTTCCTCTGTTAAACACAACAGCAGGAGCTTCTTGATACCGCTGGAGACATATAAGTAGAAGTTGCTGTATCCGTTTGTATGGCGTCACATGGGTCATTTAACCAAACATGCTCTGCATTTAAAAAATAACTTTAATACTGATATACATACATATATTTTTTTCCCTCAGTCATCATGTGGATGTTGTTTTTGAACTTTCCTCAATCCAGTTCTTCCAACTTCTTGCTGTATTATTACTTTTAATATATAAATATATATATATATATTATTTTTGTTATAAGAAAAAAGTTATTAAACCTGTTATACTGTATTATGACAGCACTTTTTTTTAAACTAAATTTCAATAACGTGATAATACCGCATACCGTGATAAAAGCATTAGCAATTAATCGCAACATGAAAATTTGATACCGGCATATCCCTATTCGTGTCTTTACACATCATTGTATCGTCACGAGCCGCAGGGTTTAATTTGGTTTTGTGTATGTTTTTTTTGACTCTCAAAGCTGTGATTCCCATTCACCTCCATTATAAGACTGACAGACTGCAACGGTTTGAGTTAAAAATCTCCGTTTGTGTTCTACTGAAGAAACAAAGTCACCTACATCTTGGATGCCCTGGGGGTAAGCAGATACACATAACATTTTCATTTTTGGGTGAACTATCCCTTTAATACAGCAAATGGTGAAATCATCTCTTTATGCCTCAGGTTTTTATTTTAAAGGACGGATGTAAAGATAAATGGAAATGGAGCTGCATGAGGTTCATTTATGTAAAGTTTGAATACTTGTTACAGTCAAATACTTACCCACATCAGACAGAACCTTAATACAGCTCTCCACTGAGGCTTTCTGGGCAGGAACGAGCCAGTTACAGTGGTAAACTCTGAAAACCCCCTGCAGGAGCTGCACAAACACAGGCTGCCGGGTCTGGAGAACAAGAATGCAAAAACAACGAGAGAGGACAGAGAAAAGGATGGAGAGAGATTATATTAGACACAGAGAGACAAAAGGAGGGAAAACAAATAACTACACATCAATAATAGAGAAGCTGAGAGGAAACTTCTGTGATGGATACTTTCAAAAGATTCAAAAGAGTGAATGAAACATCTGTGCACCATTTTTGGTTTCTACAACATCTTCAACAGAAGGTTCAATAGAAGTGACAGCATAAGACACAAAAGTCTGTGGGTCAAGGCTAGGGCTGTGCGATTAATCGAAATCGTCATAAAATCGCGATTTGAGCTTGCGCGATTTCTAAATCACTTTATAGCACGATTTTCCGCGCCCCCAACCTCCCGCAGTATGCTATCCAAACCAATCAGAATGCAGCGTGCCTATGACCAATGCATGGCAAAAAAAAAAAAATCCCTGGACACAGGATTTTTTTTTCCCCTGCCATATGTCTATTCTAGAGACATTTTGTTACACCTTTACTTAGTGATTATTTTGCCTTATGTCTGTTCTAGAGACATGTTACAGCTTTTTGATAAAGCTCTAATTGGTTTTCTTTTGGAAATATGTTTCAAATTCACACTGAATGCATTAATGACTGTAAAGCATGTCTGTGTGTGTCAAAATCGTGATTAAAATCGAAATCGCAAAATTGATCAAAGAAATCACGATCGTTTTTTTTTTGTCCATATCGCACAGCCCTAGTCAAGGCATTCCAGAGAGTTTTAAAGCAGCTCATATGTTGGTTAAAGCACTTATGTTATATGTTGCCAACATAATTCCTACATTTTTTTAAGAAAAAAAAATACTTTTATTAAGCAAGGATGATCAACAGTGAAAGTAAAGACATGTATGATGCTACAATAGATTTATATTTGAAATAAACGCTGACCTTTTGAACTTTCTATTAATCAAAGAATCAAATAAATAAAAATAATAAAAAATATGTTTCAACAAATATGTTTTTAAGCTATCATGAAAAACAATATATATATCAAGCAACAACTGTTTTCAACATTAATAATAGTAAATGTTTCTTGAGCAGCAAATCAGCATATAAGAATGATTTCTGAAGGATCATGTGACACTGAAGACTGGAGTAATGATGCTGAAAATTCAGCTTTGTCAATACAGGAAAAAATTACATTTCAAAATATATTCAGAAAAAAAAAATATGGTAATAAAATTCACAATATTACAATTTTTAATTAAATAAATGCAGCCTTGGTGCTCATACAAGGCTTCTTTCCAAAAAGGTAAAAACAAATCTCACTGGCCCCAAACATTTTAACTTTCTGATTTTAGTAAAGCTAATAGAATTACTACACATGCCATTTTTGTTTGATTGCACAAACTAAGGGACTGGTTTCTGTGGTATTCCACAGCAGAAGATGCTATCAATAGAGAATAGCTTACATTGAACCTGACACATCTCATTAAAGACAGTTTCTTAAAAAGAAATTCATACACCCATATTTGTGGACATTTCTCTAATTTTCTTACACGTATATAGGCTAAAAGGTTAACAAATTATGATGTGTTGACACCTCCAGTGACAGAAACTAACACCACATCTTACCACCAACACAATGGGTGAGAACGTAACAACACTCACAAGAAATGTGCAAAGCTGAGAGGAAGGATGGCATGTTTACCTCGCTACAACTGCAAGATTTGTTCAAACGCTTTCTGGACGACTAGTCTAGTGCGCACAAGGGCTTAATTGTGAAAAAAAAAACCTCAGTGTGATCTAGTTTCCCACTCAAACAGGATTACTAGCGAAGAGTCTAACACAAACTACATCACCACATTCCATGAGCAACCACTGTGAAGTCATTACAAAGCGGTACCTCAGTTATTTTGCCTAAAATGGAGGCCTGTCACAACAAAGAGAGATGTGAAAGATCAGAGAAGGAAGCTGTCATGAAGCAACACTTCCAGGAAATAATGAATGGGGTTTAGGGTCGATACACGACACAGTATGAGGAGGCACTTGCTACTTTACAACTGCAGACTAAAGTAATAAAAATAAATTCATTCATTCATTAAAAAATAAGATTTGTCTGTATCTACATTGGTCAAAGAAAACCAGACATTTATAATGTTACAAAGATTTTAACATCAAATAAATGCTGTTTTTAAGCTTTCCATTCATCAAAATGTCATGACAAAAAAAATCTAGATATCTACAAAAATATTAAGCAGCAACTGTTTTCAACATTGATAATAGTAGGAATGTTTCTTGAGCACCAAATCAGCATATTAGAATGATTTCTGAAGAATCATGTTACACTGAAGACTGAAGCAAAGAATTCAGAAATTTCAGCAGCATTTCAGAAGAATATATGACATTACATTACAATTATAGCCTTGGTGAGCATAAGTGAATTTTTTCAAAAACATATAAATGGTAGTGTAAATATATATGTATATATAATATAAAAATATGTAATAATAATAATAATAAACATACAAATACGTAATAATATATAGATATGTAATATATAGATATAGATATAATATGTAATAATAATATTATTATTAGATAGATAGATAGATAGATAAACAGCTATTTAAATAGAGATTATAGTTTATGAATTACATACTGCAGAATTAGTAATTGTATAATTGTACCAAAGTCCTAAATTATCATGTATCTACTTTTTAAGTTTTTGCTTAATGCATTTTCTAAAAAAATCATATTTAAAATATAAACATAAAAATAAAAGTACATTTCTAGTCCTCTTTACTATTATGTGCATTACTGTATTACTGTAATGTCAAAATAAATGATCATTGAATTATCTTTCATCACATAATAGTAATATTTTATCACCGAAAAATTTAGAATAATGAAAAAATGACATAAAATATCTGTCTTTATGCAAGACTTATTTTGATCTGTAAAAACAAACAGTGAAGTCTACTTTTAAAGTTATAAGCTCTTTAAAACCTAACCAACAAAATAGGCATCATGTCGCCTAAAGCTCAGAAAGTGAAAATAATGGTACGGTACAGATCTAGTACTATTCATGTGATTTCTTTTATCTCCAGACAGCAAAGTCAGACGGGCTACATGGAAAGACGGTCAATAGTGAAAATACCAGGCTTTCCAAGAAAAGCTATACTGTCAGCCTCCACAGCCACCAACGCTCTACAAGCATACACACACTATGTGGATCAGCCCTGGTTTCTCTCATTGTGAAATGGAGATGTGGGAAGTGTGTGCATGTTAATGAGAGAGGAGAGTTCTTGGAAAGCTCTGAGCGGTGCGTCAGTCACCAGTGGTCAGGCTGATTCTTTAGAAACCCAAGTGTGATGAAACGGCCTGAACTTCTACAGATCCTACGGGTCTCACAAAGGACACCAGCAGGTTAGCGCTAGAGAAGGGGAGGGGCTTTTACAGATACTTACGTACATATGATGTGCCACCTAAGCGAGGAAGAGGTGAAAAATGGTTAAGATATTATCTGGAGGGTATATTTTCCCATGTGTAAAGATAACGATGTGTTTCCTTCAAAGAAATCAAACCGTTGTAGAAACTGAAGAAGGTGGTGAACCAAAACTGAACTGAAACTGACAGCTGAAAGCAACACATACTTAACTTGTGCAGATATATCACGAATATTTCAGTATTGGGGTCATTACCTGTAAACTAGTGCTTTGGTCGGAGAAAGGGGAGCTGAAAAATGTCGTCACAATACTCATCACGGTTTCTGTCACGTAGCTTTCTAACGTCGTGTCAGCATGTTTGCGGTCGCTTGTATTGTTGCAGACCTGGATGCAAAGCAAGCATAAAGAATAGACAGAATTATTGTGGCCTTGAGTCATTTGCTTCAGTAAGCACAGTCAGAACATACACTGATTCACCCCTTTGCTGCCCCAATATATAGTATTTTAAAAATATTTCATTAATTTAAGTTTTATGTATTAGTAATTAGATTTATTTTTTCTTATGTCTTCAAAAAATCTAATTGAAGATCAGTTAGATCAGATAACTCAGATTCTAAATGATATAATTTAATTCTTTTTAATAAAACCTTTAAATTAATTTAGGTTTTATGTAATAAAATACAATTAATACAAATGCAATTACATTTATTTATTTATGTTCTATATATTAAAATCATGTAACTTTAAAAAAAAAAAAAAATTTTTATGTATTAAAATAAAAATTACATTAATTTATTTAAGTTTTATATATTAAACTAATCGGTAACACTTTATTTAAGGTGTCCTTATCACACGTTACATGTATTTACTATTATAATAACAATAAATAATGCATAATTACATGCAAGTAACCCTAAGCCAAACCCTAATCCTAACCCTAACCATATAGTAAGTACAT